ATATAAAAAACAGGAACATTTGCATACACATCTAACCCCTTTCAGGACAATGTGACACCTCAACAGGCTAAGTCACCCACACTGACTTTGTCAAAGCTTTTAGGACAATCATTGTCTGTTAAGCATTGGTTGGTCATGGATTATTTGTTGGTTAAATCTTGTTATGTGCAAAGTGCACAAAAGTCTCTACAGAGATAGTAATGGTAGAAAAAAGTATTCTCATTATTTTTTCAAAGAACAATTTAAAAAGTTTGTAAGTAGTCACCTTTTCTAATGCCAACAGTATGCAAAATCCCAGAGCCAATATCTTCATGGTGGAGAGCGAAGGAGGCAGAGATGCACCAGAAATGTCACTGAATATTTTCTTTTGCGCAGAAGGTCGGCTGGTGTGTGACCTGGTGTTCTTCTATTTTTTTCTGGGAAACTGAGAGGAAACTTTTGTTCTTGCTTTTATACAGAAATATCACGTTTCGGGAGGGGCAGGTGATAAATTTATGACGTGCAGTATACCTGGCACTGGTTCCAGGAAGTTTGTTGCACCATTCACCATTCATGCTGAAACGTTGTTCCTGTTACTAAAAAAAGAATAAGTTAATTTTTAATTGTAAAAATATATTAGTTTATTGATTTTTTGGACTGGTCAGTTATGAGGAAATATGAATTCTAATTATCATCCCCAGGGATTGCTATGATGCTCATATTCTTTGACTGCTAATCTTCCTTTAACCCAACCTCAAATTCACACTTACTGTGAATAGGCAACTATTATCTGGAATATATTCTTTTTTTTTTTTTTTAGCAATGAATAACCATGATGGACTTCCTCTCTGTTATGTTGACATCTGGCTTATACACGGAATGCACTTCCCTATACTTTTGTATTTATAATCCTTTTTATGAGATTAATCATAGAGGGAAAACTATTCCCCCTTCTTTGTTCCTCCTGGTCGAAGATTGACAAACTGGAAACAAATAGGTGACAATATTATTTTGTGATGTGTGGCAGCTTGCGTCGCAGGACAAAGGTCATTCATTCAGATTTTAGTTTTTTATAAAAAAGTCATTAAGACCATGAGTCTACTTTCCAAACCTACTGAGAGGCTTTAATCAGCATTTTACAGCTTTTTGGTTTGTCTTGATATTATATACATTTTTTAGTATTTTCACACACTGAAATCACCTCACAACCTTTCACAACAACTGCATGTTTGCCATGGACAAACATTTTGAGGCTGCAGGGGGATGCAGTATCTGATTTCAGATTTAGATTCATATTTCTGCTAAAAGTCAAACTCATACATAATAATGCCTTTAAAATGACATTGAGGTGTCAATTTAAAAAAACTAAAACCATTTATCACCATGTTTTGGAATTGACTTAGACAAGATACAGTTTGCTTGTTTTTTTAGTTTGTTTTTTATTACTTTACTCTTTTATTAATCTCATTCCCTTTATTTTTATGCATTTGCATATGCAAATCGAATGATAACATACACTAAATCAGCCTGAAGCCTCCATAGAAGCATAAAACCATGAATGACACTTGTATGACTTAGTGATACCATCTTTGTCACTCCAGCTGCTGACTCAGGTAAGTAGAATTTATGCTTGTTTCTTACATGCAGTGTACTACTATGTTGTGTGGTAATGTTTTTTAAATCCACTATGATGGATGATATGGTTAGCTCTACAATATTTAAGTTATTACAAGAAAAAGATCAAATAAATGTGCAGTTTTAAGGGAAATATGAGAAGAGTTGTTGTTACAGATTGGCTGCAGTCCAATATTTGGGTGCTGACGGAGTATTAATGTCAAATTTTTTTCATAATGGACAACAAAAGCTTGTGGGGAGCCTCCCTCTTAAATAAACCTCTTGATCGACTACTGTCTGTCAATATAAATGTTAAATATCATGGATCAAACATTTGTTTTTAATCACTATGGTTTTAAAAAAAGGGGGTACTGTGAAAAACAATTTGACATTATCATATATTTAATGAAATGATGCTCTTTTTATTTTTGTTAGATATACATTGTAAATACAAATTTTTCATATTTAATATAATATATTATAAGTAGTATACAATCATTTGTAAGATTTTTCTTTGTTGGTTTTCATTCAATTTTGCTTTTCACACGTACCAAGAAAAATAGAATATACTAATACACACACATGCAAAAACTGTTGCTTTAAAGGTCAACACAACTACTAGGCCAGGACAATAAATAGGCCTATGCTATGTACAAAGTGTTTATGCTATGCCAACATCAGTTGCATATCAGACGTTGCTAATCTCTTAAAATGCTCAAAAACATGCTTAAATCCATTATGATTCATATGAATGCAGAATCTGACTCACTCAATCTGTAAAAGGTCTGTTAGTACATTAATAAGCTCTGTCATTAATCATTTCATAATCCCCTAAACCACAATTTTGTGACAACTGAAAATGTATTTCCTCCAAAATAATATTCTAAAATATGCTCAAATTTGCAATTTGTTTAAACAGTATTGTCTTTTAGGCTCACTCCAGCTCTGAGCCTCAAGAGGGCGCTGATTGCCAAACTGCTTGAAGAACAAATGATCCAAACAGAAGCCTGAAAGATATGAAGATGTGGTTCTGTCCGTTCTTGGTGGTCATTGTATTCACGCCGCCTGTGCCCGTCATCATTGTGGGTCTGGTGCC